CCTGTGTCCTTGCCCAAACTCAAAAAAAGCCTATGAAAAAGGTACCAGCGGCATCTCATGGGGCCCCCTACTGACCCCGGGACCTCGGGCAGTGCCTGAGTTTCCAAATGGTCAGTCCGCCCCTGCTCCATATATAACTGAATTGCATGTAAATTTGTGTTTGATGCTACTTGACAATTACTACTGCCCTAACTCTAGGATCACACCTATGCAGGTTGCCTTTGATGCGTTTCTGCATTTTGTTTTGTGTTGCGTTTTGCATTTTTGAGCTTGCGTTTTTGATGCAGTTTTTTTTTTCATTTTGTGTTGCTAGGCAGATTTTAAACGCAAAATACATGAAAAACGCAATACATGATTTTCTGCAGCATTCCCATTGAAGTATATAGAACCAAAAATGCAACAATTTGTGTTCAAAAAAGTCTCTGACCCTTTCCAAAAAACGCACCGGGTGAAAAGGCCGAGATGTGAACCTGTCCCATAGGAAATCATGTAAATGGACTGTACTGCACATATGTGGGTTTCTCACACATAGAGCTCATTCACATCATGTGCGTTGGACCGTGTCACTGAAACACAAAAAACATGCCAAAATCATTTGTTTGCAAAAGGCTCCGTGCACATCGATGTGTTACAAAAATGCCAATCGACACAACACAATGCGTTCAAAAAAAGTAGTGAGCCGCAATCGCTTGCGGTGCATGCCCGCTAAAAGTGTGCACTGTGCCCATGAAAAGCAACAGAAGATATTATTCCTATCATGGTTGCAAAGCAACGCGGGTGTGACATGTATACACCCCCTGCCAGCTAAGGAAGGAGCAGCTGGGAGGCAGTAAAACCGTGGCTCAGCCACAGGGTTTTAACACCCCCCCCCCCAACGACTAATGTGAAATGCCCCCCCCTTACTGAAATGCATGGCAATTATATTTCTGTTATTGCAGTATCATTTATTGTGTCTGGTGCCCCCCATGCACCTCCGGCATGCATGTGTGCTGAAACGCAGTATAGCACCAAACTATACATGCCGTCCTGTGCACTAAAATGCGCGATAAAATGCAGCCTGATGTGTTTTTGTGTGCGTTGCTGTATGTTTCAGTCCATTCATTTTGAATGGGTTGTATACTGCAATGGGCATGTTGCAGTGTACAACATGCTGTGGATCACAGGGGCTAAATGGTTAGCACTTCTGCCTGGCAGCACTGGGGTCGTTGGTTTGAATCCCAGCCACGGCACCACCTGCCTGGAGTTTGCATGTTCTCCCTGTGCCTGTGTGGGTTTCCTCCCACACTCCAAAGACATGCTGGTAGGTCTAAATTGTCCCTTGTATGTATGAATGTGAGTTAGGGACCTTTATGCCCCTTGCGGGTTAGGGACTGATGTGAACAGGGGCAGACTGACCATTTGGAAACTTGGGCACTGCCCGAGGGCCCGGGGTCAGTAGGGGGCCCCATGAGATGCCCCTGGTACCTTTTTTTCATAGGCTTTTTTGAGTTTGGCAAGGGCACAGGGGCCCCATGATCCCCTATTGCCTGGGGGCCCCATGAGTTGTCAGTCCGCCCCTGGATGTGAATGTACAATATATATGTAAAGTGCTGTGTAAATTGTTCTTCCTGTGCCTGCATGGGTTTCCTCCCACACTCCAAAGATATGCTGGTAGATTAATTGGATCCTGGCTAAAAATTGGCTCTAGTACATGTATGTATGAAGATCAGTACTAGGGTCGTTGGTTCAAATCTGCACCACCTGCCTGGAGTTTTCATGTTCTCTCTGTGCCTGCATGGGTTTCCTCTGGGTACTCCAGTTTCCTCCCACCCTCCAAAGACATGTTGGTAGGTTAATTGGATCCTGACTAAAAATTGGCCCTAGTATGTGTATGTATGTAAGTTAGGGACCTTAGATTGTACGCCCCTTGAGGGCAGGAACTGATGTGAATGTACAATATATATGTAGAGTGCTGCACAGATTGACAGCACTATATAGGTAACTGAAATAAAACACACAAAAAGAAAAAAAGTGTTGCACTGGCGCTTCATTATTATTGGCACCCCAAACATGGAATGCAGGCTCACATTTGGGGTATAAAATGCACAACAAACATGCGGTTAAAAAAAATGCAAAGCTTAACATCTAAAAAAGGGACATGAGCTACTTTTGGTGCGTTTGTCACACATAGGGGAACCTGTTGAACTGACTGGACTGCCCTATGCGTCTATTATTATTATTATACAGGATTTATATAGCGCCAACAGTTTGCTCAGCGCTTTACAATATAAAGGGAGACAATACAGCAACAATACAGTTCAATACAAGAGGGATAGGAGGGCCTGATCCTTGGAGCTTACAATCTAAAGGAAGGGTCTAAAACATGCACCATAAACAAAGGTGCTCAAAAGTGCGTGTTCATGAAACGCCAGCCTCAGGCTGCATTCACACCATAGTGTCTCTTAATGGTACCCCAAATGTGGCAAAACGGATGGTAAAAAAAGCATGTGCAGCTCCCAGCTCAAAAAAGTGCACGAGCTCCTTTGCTGCGAGTAGACGTGCGATTTGTTACCATTAGTTTTTCAGACAAAAATGTTGTTTTCAGAGGTTCGGATGTATACAAATCTTCAAATGGACATAGTAACAAATGTCAATGAATCCGAAAAAAGTTTTTTTTAACAAAATTTATAAATGCTATTCGTTCATTCGGATGACGTCACATGATGCGATAGTTCACTCCCACGGGGAAATTAATTCAGTTTTTTAATTTGTTTGATGATTTGGTTTCAGATAACGAATGGATCTGAATTTTGTTTCATTTGTTAGTTCGGATGCACATGACGCCATTGTCCAATCAGCTCGTGCCATTTCTCTTGGTGAGTTGGACTAGAGTCTGATTCAAAAATATTGAATTCTTCCGATTCGAAAATTCGCCCAATTTGATAATGTATTGAAATGAATTGCTCTATGGCCTCATGCACACAAGGCGTAACAGGAACGCACATTCTTTTTTTTGTGCATTTATTGCGTGATTGTGCGTACTCGGCCTGACCGGGCTGCCCTATGTGCAACAAATGCGCCAAAGAAGCTCCTGCATTTTTTTTTCGGGTGGTAAACGTTGCACAATTTACCATGTGTTTTGGCACATTTGTCGCACAACAAATTCATGTCTGCCGGCATGTCAGGGTGCCATAAAGAATTATTGGCACTGCAAGCACAAAAAATGTTTGTACTTGTAGCCGGATCTAGGGGGGTACTGTGGTGGGCTATACCCCCGAGAATTTTAGTTATGCCCGCCCCCCACACCCCCCAAAGCCAACCCTAACCTTGCACTGTTCTGCCCAAACCTGGCACTGTTCTGCCCAAGCCTGGCGCTCTTCTGCCCTAAATTGACACAATACCACTCCAATCTGATACCGTACCGCCCTAGCCGGACACTATACTGATCTCAGGTATGCCTTGTGTGGGGAGGAGGAGCTCTGCTGCCTGTGCCCAGACTGTGTGCAGTGCAAGGATGGGAGAAGAAGCTGTGCCCATGTCTCCTGCCCCACTACAGTGACCCCTGTCCTCTGCCCAGCCACAGTGACCCCTGTCCTCTACCAGCAGTGACCCCTATCCTCTGCACCGCCAGCAGTGACTCCCGTCCTCTGCCCAGCCACAGTGACCCCTGTCCTCTACCAGCAGTGACCCCTATCCTCTGCACCGCCAGCAGTGACCCCTATCCTCTGCCCCACCAGCAGTGACCCCTGTCTTCTGCCCCACCAGCAGTGACCCCTGTCTTCTGCCCCACCAGCAGTGACCCCTGTCTTCTGCCCCACCAGCAGTCACCCGTCCTCTGCCCCGCCAGCAGTCACCCCTGTCCTCTGCCAGAAGTGACCCCTATCCTCTGCCCCGCCAGCAGTGACCCTTGTCCTCTGCCAGCAGTGACCCCTATATTCTGCCCCACCAGCAGTAACCCTTGTCCTCTGCCAGAAGTGACCCCTGTCTTCTGCCCCACCAGCAGTCACCCCTGTCCTCTGCCAGCAGTGACCCCTATCCTCTGCCCCGCCAGCAGGACCCTTGTCCTCTGCCCCGCCAGCAGTGACCCCTGTCCTCTGCCCGCCAGCAGTGACCCCTGTCCTCTGCCCCGCCAGCAGTGACCCCTGTCCTCTGCCCCGCCAGCAGTGACCCCTGTCCTCTGCCCTGCTGACCTCCCATCGTCTGCACCGATGACATTTTTTTCTGCACCCACACATTAGCCAGGCTAGATCTGGTCCTGTCTGTAACAGGGGCGGATTGACCATTCAAGCGCTAGGGCACTGCCCGAGGGCCCAGGGTCAGTAGGGGGCCCCATGAAATGCCCCTGGTACCTTTTATAGGCTTTTTTGGGTGTGCTTTGAGTGTGGGCAAGGACACAGGGGCCCCATGATCTCCTATTGCCCGGGGGTTATCAGTCCGCCCCTGGTCTGTAGCGTGTTTTCTGCGCACATTCCTGGGAGGCGCGGGTTTGAATGGGACCTGCGTGTGTACTGCGACATCCTGCGTAAACGCGCGTTCTAGAAACACTAAGACGTGAACAGAGCGTGATGTGAATGGGGCCACCTGCGGAGAGGGCTATTGGGTTTCCAGTGGTCCTCATCAGGGACGTTAGTGGGGACAAATCCCCCCCAAAAACCCGACCCTGTCATGGGATTGGCTGCCGCCCCCGATCACGGACAGATCACAACACCGCTCTCCGCGCACGTGGGGGAACATTGTAGCGAGTAAAGGGAAAAAAATATTCACGGCACCGCCCCCTCCCAGCTGCCGGCCAATCAGAGAAGGGGGAGTGTCCGCGCCCAGCTTACTTATGAAAGGTGTGTGCGGGCGGACGGATCAGAGCGCGGTGCCCGTCCCCGGTGCTCGGTGTCTGTTCTTGGTGCTCTGTCCCGGTGCCTTCCGCCTCCATCCCACAGAAGGATCGCTGTGCCCGGGCTGATTGTTGGAGCCGTCCGAGGTGTGCCGATCCCCCCTTCCCCCGGCACTGCCCGCTCACCAGCCAGATGTTGAACATGAGCTCCGGCCAGGAGCAGGCTCCCGATGGCCCCTGCAGCCCGGCGGGCACTGCCAGCTCCATGTCCCACGTTTCGGACTCCGACTCGGACTCTCCGCTGTCCCCGGCCGGCTCGGAGGGGCGAGGATCGCTCAAGGGCCCCGGGATCTCCAAGAAGGACCCGGACGGCGGGACCATGGACGAGAGGTTCCCCGCCTGTATCCGGGAGGCCGTGTCCCAGGTGCTGAAGGGCTACGACTGGTCCCTGGTGCCCATGCCGGTCCGGGGATCCGGCTCTCTCAAAACCAAGCCTCATGTCAAGAGACCGATGAACGCCTTCATGGTGTGGGCACAGGCTGCCCGGAGGAAGCTGGCCGACCAGTACCCCCACCTACACAACGCCGAGCTCAGCAAGACCCTGGGGAAGCTATGGCGGTAAGTGCCCACCGTGACCTACCCACAATTCCTGGGGTGTGCCCACCGACCTGCCCATGGGAGACACCACCTTCCAACAATTCATGGGGTGCCCACCGACCTGCCCATGGAGACACCACCTTCCAACAATTCATGGGGTGCCCACCGACCTGCCCATGGAGACCAAACGCTTTCTGACAATTCATAGAGTGCCATCCCACCTGTCCATGGAGACCCTCTGACAATTCATAGGGTGCCCACCGACCTGCCCATGGAGACCCACGACATTCTAACAATTTATAGGGTGCCCACTGACCTGCCCATGGAGACTGAACACCTTCCAATAAATCATAGGGTGCCCACCGACCTGCCCATGGACACACCACCTTCCAACAATTCATAGGGTGCCCACCGACCTGCCCATGGAGACCAAACGCCTTCTGACAATTCATAGAGTGCAATCTCACCTGTCCATGGAGACCCTCTGACAATTCATAGGGTGCCCACCGACCTGCCCATGGAGACCCACGACATTCTAACAATTCATAGGGTGCCCAATGATTTGCTCATGGAGACCTACCACCTTCCGACAATTCATAGGGTGCCCAACGACCTGTCTATTGGGACCCACCACCTTCTAACAATTCATAGGGTGCCCAATGATTTGCCGAAGGAGACCTACCACCTTCTGACAATTCATAGGGTGCCTAATGACCTGCCCTTGGAGACCCACCACCTTCTGACAATTCATAGGGTGCCCAAAGACCTGTCCATTGCAACCCACCACCTTCTGAAAATTCATAGGGTGCCCACTGACCTGCCCATGAGACCGACCACCTTCAGACAATTCATAGGGTGCCCACTGACCTGCCCATGAGACCGACCACCTTCGGACAATTCATAGGGTGCCTACTGACCTGCCCATGGAGACCCACCACCTACGGACAATTCATAGGGTGCCCACTGACTTGCCCATGGAGACCTGCCACCTTCCGACAATTCTTAGGGTGCCCACCGACTTGCGCATGGAGATCTGCCACCTTCTGACATTTCCTGGGGTGTACACACTGACCTATACATGGAGACTGACCACCCTACGACAATTTCTGGGGTATGCACAGTGACCCGTCCATGGAGACCCACAACCGTCCAGCAATTCATAGTGCCCATTGACCTGTCCATGGAGACCCACCATCCTCCAACAATTCCCGGGTTGTGCACACTGTCCCATCCATGGAGACCCACCACCTTCTGACAACTCATAGGGTTCCTACCAACCTGTCCATGGATACTGACCACCTTCCGTCAATGCCTGGGGTGTGCACACTGAACTACTACCTGCTGACAATTCCTGGGGTGCACACACTGCTGCTTGTGCATTGGGGGTGTACCCTTTATTGGCCAACTGACAATCACTGGGGTGCAAACACTGTTCACATTTTTTTTTTTTGGGGGGGGGAGGGTGGTACTATTTATTGGTCAACTACCCACTAATAATTCCTGGGTGCACACACCGATCTCTGAACATTGTGGGGTGGCGGGGATCTATTTATTGGCCAACTAACCAACTATTCCTGGTGTGCACATACTGCTCCCTGTTCCTTGGAGGGATTGCTTTTTATTGGCTAACTACTTACTGACAGTTACTGGGGTGCACACACTGATCCCTGTTCATTGAGGGGTTTGTATGTTTATTGACCAACTACCTACCAACAATGCCTCAATCATCTGATTTCTGGAGTTCACACCTTTCCCTATTTTTTCGGGCGTTGAATGTAAATTTCACTGTATTGTCTCTGAAGTTCAGATTTCTTAAGAGTTTTATTTAAAATGCAAGAATTAATAGAAATTCCATTGACTAGGGGTTCACTACCTGTTCTTTGGGGTGTTGAATGTAATTGTTCCTGTTTATTGGTCAACTACCCAAATAAAATTTTAAGGGTCTGGGCTCTTATTCTTTGCTTTATGGAGTGTTGAATGTAATTTTTCCTGTTTATTGGCCAAACTACCTACCTTTGATTTATGGGGTTCACACACTTGTCCGTGTTCATTGTGGTGTTGCGTCAGTTTACTCTTTCTTGGCTCTAATTCATATTTTTTTTATAAAAGCTAGTATCAAATCGACGAACTATGCCATGATGGGGTACTTGATTTATTGTCTTGTCTAAGTACCCACCTTCATTTCCAGGGGTTCAGGAACTTGTCCTTGCATGATGGGGTGTTGAATACAGTGTTTACTGTTTGCCACCTAAATCCATATTTTTTAAGAAGTGTAACTGAAAGATTTAACATAATGCGCTAACTATGACATGATGGGATACCTTACTGTTTCTTGTCCAAGTACCCACCTAGGTTTTAGGGGTTTAAGCCTTGCTTATTGAGGGGTTGCCATATACTATCACAGTTCAGACATTTGTCCATTTGTATTTTGGGTTGTTGCATCAGTTTTTACTGTTTCTTGGTGAACTACCCATCGCTATGTTCGTAGGTTCACATTCTTGTCCCTGTTTTTTAGGTTTTGAACGCAGTTTTTACTGTTCTCTTAATTCAAATTTTTAAGAGATGTATTTAAAATGCAAGAATTTATTTATAAAAATCTACTATCTGTGTCATGGTTGGTTAATAAAAATTCATATAAAATCCCCTAAATATGCCATGTTGGGTATGTAATGGACTGCATTTACTATTGGGAATAACTAGCTCAGGTATAAGACTAGAAAAACGAGTCCTGAAAATGTGGTGCTAGTATCTAATGTATAGAACTGTATTATCTTAGACATTTAACCTTAGAAGAGGTCTTTTTTGGGGATGTTGCATGAAGTTTTTACTCTTTCTTGGTTTTTAAATTTTATATTTTTAAAGAGGTGTATTTAAAAAACAAGTGATATTGAATCCACTAAATGTACCATGATGGGTGTATAGTGTGCAGCAATTACTATTACAACTAAAAAAAAGAACCAACTCGGGTATAACAAAGGTAAAGGGAATCTGAAATGTACATCTGTCCTTTTTGAGATGTTTAGAAACACTCAGTGACAGTAGAAACAGACCAAGTGGTCAATCATGTCTGCCCATTCTTTGATTTTTTTTTTTTTTTTTTTTTTTTTTTGTCTGAGTATAGATCTCTGCTTTAACCCCAAGCATGTTTAAATCCACTTACTATTGACTGACCCACTACTGCTGCTGGAAGTCTTTTCTAAGCATCAACTGCTCCTTTGGTAAAATAATGCTTTCAAAGTTTTCTAAACTTTTCTCCCCTACTTTGGGGTTGTGGCCCCAGGCTCTTGATCTTGGCTTCATATGAAAAATATTGCCACCCTGCACCTCTTTTCACGCATGCAGTTGAGTGCGTTTATTCTGGCCTTTAAATCAAATATTTTAAAGGAGCATTTACAACTAGGGAAAAACTCGTTGAGGTACAAGATGGGAGCAACGGGACCCTGGAAAGATGCTGTTTGCACCTAATGTAAAGAACTGTCTCTTATTTCAGGGTTGTATAGTATTGGCTGCAATTTTAAATATGTATTGCTTTATCTTGAATTCATATTTTTAAAGACCCATATTTAAAATGCAAACATTCAATACAGTCATTATGCCATGCTGGGGGTTGTAGTTTGTTGCATTACAACTGCTACAGGGGATACCTGGCTCAGCTATAGCACAGGAGCAAAAGGACCCTGAATGTTTTCTGTTACCACCTATCTATACCATGTCAATGTTTTGAGCGACCCTTGGACCCATAATTCTGTTCAAAATTCGTTTTCTACCAAATAACAAAGAAATTGATGGAAGCAGAGACATGAGAGCTCGTAGAACCAATACATTTCTGTTTATTACTTTTAGTTTTATAAATAAATGTATTTATATTTAATTTGCTTTACCAACTTGCTTTGTAATGCAGTAACAATGCCATAACAGGATTGTACTGTGCTGTATTAATCACTACCAAAGAGTAGAATTATCTCAAGTATAACATAGGCGCAAAGTGACCCTCAAATGTTTGTAATATCACACATGTACAAATGTTAACGTAGGCAAGGATTTGGGCAATCAATAGGGTGCCAACAAGGAACAGAAATTCTGTTTAGAAATGTAGTTTTCTATATGGTGGAAAATCCTGAAGACTCTATTAAGAGCAATTTGGTGGCTGGTAGGATAGGATTCTTCTGTAGTATTGACTGTTAGTTAATTTAGTTATTCATGTTTTACTAATCGTGGATCGACATAAGTGTCAGGTGATATCAGAACTAGTTGTTGAAGTTTAGATGAGATGTCCAGTTTCACCTAGGATTCTCTTGGTCTAGTTTGTTGTTGGGTTTACACTTCCCCTCCCATTTATACTGTATCTAGAAGACCTTGCCCAGTTTGCTGTTGCTCATCTCATACCTGGAATTACAGGCTTGGTATGCATCGTCCAACTATCTGGCAGAAATGATAGATATTCTTATTGTGTTTTCTTAGCCATGAATGGCAAGATGTCAGCGGTGATGCTTCTAACCCCAGTTGGGGCATCGATCTACTATTTTTTTTTTTTTTTTTTTTCTTTTTTTTTTTTACCAAATGGAAATGTCTATAACCAGTTCTAAAAACCTTGTAGCACAAAATTAGAGTTTGTCAAATCCTTAATGCAGAAGTTACCAGATTATATACATGTAGTAATATACTCTGCAATAAATGAACTAAGCAATTGAGGCCGAGCTGAACAATATTCAGGATTGGCAAAAAAAATTACACAGGAACCTGAGTTAATTAGCCTTTTCTAGCCTTGATGCCCCATGGCAAGTTGAATCAACTGACCCATCTTTTCTTCATTGGACCCATCTTTTCTCCAATGGACTGCTTTTGCCTGATCTCTATGCTATAGTTACAGGCTCCATCCACCTTGGAGTCTCCCATAACCTTGGGAGTAACTCTTTCCATGAAAAAAAAAAAAAAAAGCTCTAATTGGGCTCCCAATTCTACACATGCATGATGGCCTTTATGTCTAGGCCTCATTCACTCAGTGTTGCTGTAACAGGCCC